TTAAAATAAAAAAAAATTTATTAAGTTTGGTTTAATAGTTGTTGAGATATTTTGATTTAAAATTTTAAAAAAACTCAATAAAACGATTTGTTTGGTTTCTACTGGCAGCCCCCCAGTATCATTTCTAGTGATACAATAGAACCATAGTTGGTTTGGCAAAATATCAAAATTTCCAGTTTTTGTTTTTCTTTTTGTTAGTGGGAATTTGATACTATTTTGTCAAACTAATTACCGATTCTGTGTACCACTGGAATAATACCGCAGAACTGAAATATAATAGTGAATCTTAAGAATTTGAAAAAAATGCCATGAACCATATATATTCACTAATAAAAAAAAGCTTGTAAAAAAGCAAATATATGAATAATTAAGATGTAAAAGTAACTATGAAATAAATTCAATAAAATATAATGAATATAAATAAAGTTGCTACCTTATTAGTGCTTATATTCATCAATCTTAACATAAATTCGAATTTCATAATTATTTTTGTAATATATTCAAAATATTCATGAATATTCATAATAATTATGAATATTGTAAATATTTATAAATAAGACAATATTCGCAAATATTATAAATTATCGTACGGCAATATGGGATCTTTGCAAGGATTTTTTTCTAAAAATAGATTTTTTATGTTTTTCTTAATAAAAATATCGTGTAACAATGGCTCGTAGGGTCATTTTGCTAGCAAAGATCCCATATAGTTACTGTCATACCAAAATTTGATCATATTTGTACGGTTGAGTTTTAAATTCTTATTAGACAAAGTCGATAATATAGCCTGCTCTGTCAAATAAGAATTTTAAAAACCGTACAAATACAGTATGATCAAAATTTTGGTGCGGCAGTACGTAACAACAGCCGGACGATAATACCGTTATCGTATGGATGAATAAAAAATTGACACGATGGTATAGATGTATATCAAATATCTGTCAGAGATATTTGATCAGATCACTGATATACACCCATACACCATAACAATATTTTTACCCACCATGCAATAACTTATAAATATTTTAAAAAATTGTATTTTTTAACATTAATCACAAGCAACATGAATATTCAAAATCACATAACACACTCGAATATTCATAAATTTTTATATATTCGAATATATTTATGCAGGCTTGAATAAAGCATTATTACTGATAATGGGAAATCTGCGGTTTCTCTAAAAATCCGCGCGGGATGCGGGATAGGATGTCTCGGAATTTTGCGGAACATGGTCAAAATTTTGCATGAAATTTTGTCTCGATCTCGGAATGTCCCGGAACGTGCCGGATTTATGCCACTGGCCCGAATTATGCAATATATCCCGCGCGTTACCCATCACTAATTATTGTGGCGGATTAATATGAAATCGGATTACAATGAAATATTGTACAATGTAAAAAATAGACTAACCACCGAAAAATAAAAATTTTTGAGGTGCATTTTTTAGGGTTAGAGGTTAGGATTGGAGGTTAGTTTTAGGGTAAAGTTTATAACAAATAAGTATAAGTGGGTTTTAGAGGGTTAAATAGAAGTCCTCATTTCATTTTAATCCGATTTCATTATGATCCGCGACAATCATTACCTATTAGGGCCTACGGACTCGGGAAATCAAAAACCAAACCATAAATCCGTCAATAAACTTAATCGAAAACAGCGATAATATATCACTATATACCACTATACCTGAACCTCTTCGACTTCTAAGTTTCCTATGTTTCCAATAAGTTTATCAATGGAATTCTGACCAAATCCAGCACTCCCCGTGTAATTAACTTTTTTTAAAAAAATTGGAATTCAAGTGAATTCTTCTATAATTTGACAAAATTATTCTAATAAGTTTCTCGCTCAAATTTAAAAGAATACCTCCTACAACAAAATAGCCCAAGGAAACTAATGTCGATATAGTCAAATTAATCCTTGCCATACAAACACCATGTGGTCCACCATGTGGGATAACAATAAGAGGTGGTTTCTTGTCTGAAGGGACATCTTTGGGCTTATAGACTATTGATTCTAAATAAGGATTGTTTTCGAAAGGTCGCAATATGGACCATGTGGATTTGGAAAGAGTGGGTTCCACTGTGCATTTAAAATTTCATTTGTTAAATTTACACTGAAATTATAAAGTAAGCAAAAATATAATATAAACAGTGTTGGCTTGACCAGATCAGTTTGACTATTAGACCAGACCAATTTGACTGGTCTGGTCAAAAATCTGTACTGGTCAAATAGTATATTTAAATATAATTTATTATACAGTTTCATTATATATTATATTTATATAATAGATTTGACCTATTTGACCAGTAAATTTTTGGTCGACCATTCATTTGCCAAACACTGAATATAAAGTACCTTCTTCCACGTCAGGTTGATCGACCACTGTCCAATCAACGACCAGATTGTCTTCATGGCAACCAGTTACAACTCCGAGTTGCTAAAATAATAATATAATAGATTTAAATCATATTATATAAATGAAAAGCGTGTGTATATATGTACCAAACTTACCAATTTATGAAATTCAAAAGCTGAACCCTGCGATGCTAATATATACTTGTCCCATGATGATAATAAGTTACAACTCCCTGTCGTAGTCAATTGTTGAACCTTACCGGTAGACAAATTTATTGCCAATAAAACTTCTTGACTACGCCAATTACTGTGCATCAAAATGAACTCAACGCCATCAATTGTAATAAATGCATTTAAAGGGATAACTTTATTATATATTCCAGGAAAGTTATTGTGAAAAGATGGTGAAGGAGAATGTACAATAGGTACGATAAGGCGGTTTTGCTTTGATGAAAAGTTGTACTATAAAAGTATTAAATATAACAATATCCAATGATTAATACAAATTTGAATTAATTAATTAAAAGCATATATTAACCTCATAAAGTTCTGAACACCAGAAATGTGGACCACCGATTGGATTAGACAAATAAACCTTTATCGATATGAATACAAATAAGTAATTGTATAATTAAAACTAGGAACCGGAAACTGGTATAAGTCTGGAGCATGAAGTATGTAATTTATTAGATTCAATGTTCGTCGACTAGTAAATGTGATTGGTCTATTATCACGTTGGCAGTGGGACCAATGGAGTTAAATGGTTACGTGAATGGAGCTTAAAAACCTAGTATCCATTGAGCTCCATTGCAAACCCTGCCGTGTGCGGGCGGACGGACAAACATCACATCAGGGACCCGTAAAATTAATAAAATAAAAATTTTTCGGGTCCCTGCATTGCATGATCAAAGTTTACAGAAACAGATTGCTCCGGACTAATAATTTACTAAAAAAAAAAAACATTGCTTACTAAGCAGTTTCCTGACAAATTAAGTCGCGGTGATCGAGCGTGTTCAACATTATTACTTAGATGCTCTGTTAATAAACCTTTTATTAATATGCTATCCAATGAATATATAAATTAATACAACTACCTATATTCTTACCCAGATTAGACCCATCCAGCTGACATTGATATATTCCAGTTCTGCAATTGAAATGGTCAAATTATTCATTTTATGTCGATTTAAATTTTTTCCTAAAAATAGTTAAACTCACAATCTATTAATACACGCCGAAATACCATAACGTCGGGGTTCGTTACTATATCCAGTAAAAATAAGCGATTTATCTTCAGGGCCAAATTGAACCTTTATATAAAAAAGTGTTAATGTCGAAATTAGTAAAGTATTTCATATAAAATTGTAATGCAAACCTGTCCAGGGTCAATTCTTTCGAACTTTGGCAAAACCTTTGCTTCATTTGTTGAAATATCGAAAACAACAATTGAAGGGGCACGTTTATTATTGAATCTCTCGCCCCAAGATGGCGCGTAATCAAATTTCTAGTAATAAATTATCAAATTTGAAATCAATAAAAGTAATACGCAAAAATGTAATAAACAATCGTGAAAAAGAGTTTTTAAAGTCACCCGCTCATCTGAATCTTCTAATGCCTTTTGTTCTGCAACATAGACAGCTTTTTGTTCATCTTTTGACCAATATAGACCACCAAACTCGTCTTAAATAGTGATATGTTAGATGATTTTAGTTTTACTACATATATAATCATTGTTGCACGAGTAATTACCATCAGTATAAAACTCTCCATGGACATCGGTAACATCTAAAACATTTATTAGTGTTCCTAATTTCCAAGTCTGTTAATTAAACAATTCACATATATAATTAATTAATTATCGTATATTTTTTAAATTTATTAAAAGTTAACGCTAGAGTGTAAAAAAATTACTTCAACAAATCTATTTTTTCCTTTTTCATTCGATACGGCTCTTAAGATCAAAAGTTGATTTCCAGATGGGGAAATAGTTTGCAGAGCAATATCTCCTAAATCAATTGGTAAAAATGAAGAGGATATACCCATAGATTTACCATTTCCATCCTTTTGCAGGGACACGACCAGTTGTTTTGCAATTGCTCGCTTAAGTTTTCGGACCAAGTCACGTTGATTAAGGGTAAGCTGAATGACTTTGAAAAATTATGAAGTACCATTTTAATATAAATACATTATATTCAAAAACGCAACAAAATTAAAGTATAATTTACAAAGTAAAGAGGAGCTCGAAGTAGGTAAAAAGCGTGCAGAGAGATACGTGGGTATTTTTGCTAAAGCCTTAAATGTTTTAAGTGCAACCGAGTCTTCCTTTTCACCACTTGTTACCTCTTCGGACTCGACGTGAGTTTGAGGCATTTTTACTACTACACAATGGAATTATGTGCTATCATATTTTTTATCGTTGTTCCAAATTACATATATACTGAATTAGATAATCTGGTATTTTTCAGCAGATCAGATTGACACACTGCGTAATCACGTGATTAATAAGCATAAGATTACTGGATTAATCTGAAGGCTGTCCCAAATTTGGCTGTGGAAGAAAAGTGAAGATCAATCTGATATTCATTAGGACTAATAATGTCAGGTCATACTGTCATATAGATAATTTAAGGTCATCAGCAAACACTGCTCGAATATCGGTCGCGTGGAACTGGTACGTAAATACTATGATCGATAATACTAATTTATTCGGTTCTAAATTGCGAAGCGATGTTGGCAGTATACTGTTACACGCGTCAACCCTAATGTTCTTTAGGTTAGTCAATTTTATACGATTTTGAAATGATCGACAAATTCACAAAATTATGTAATGCAACTTTACGGTGATTAAATTGTCGACTCCGTCCGTGACAAAATCAATTTTTAAAAAAGTTCGAGAATTAAAATTTATAAAACCCACATGCAGAATTATTTTAACTCATAATTTAAGAAAATATGTTTTTAGAAATGTGTTGCGTATCTATAAAAATCTCTACTTTCTGCGACAATTCCGTGATTCTGCGGCATTCTGTAAAATGAAGAAAGTCATTGGTCCTGAACCTTCTTTTATTGTTTTCTCAATGCATGTCGACAAAAGTTTGTCCGTATAATGTGTTTTTAGAGAGTATTATTACTGCTAATCAACTATAATACTAATCGGAGCAAATATAGTTCTTTTTTTTTTTTATTAAATATAAAACATCTTTTAACCAAGCAATTTTTTTTTGTTAAAGCGTAACAATTTTGAAATATAATTTTTTGAAATACAATTTTGAAATACATAAATCAAATACATGTACCAATGAATAATACACATACATTCACCATAATCGTTTCCCATTCATGTGATATATCAACTGTTTTATTATTAATTAGAGCGTGGGTATTTTTATTTTTATTTTTTTTTCAAGGATTCGTTTAATAATATCCAGGATTAATCATTTCATCTACAGAATACATATTAATATCAGTAAGTTTTCAAAAAAAAAACAAAGATTCGATCTTTGAATTTCTATTTTTTTATACTTACTATAAATCGGATAATATAAAAGTTCTGACTTCTTAATAACAGGAATAGAATCTTTTGCCATTTTCCAAAAATCGGCATCATGCCAAACCTCTGGATTTTCAGGTAATCCAAGTACACAAAATCCTGGATTTCTTCCAGCATATTCTGCCATTAATCTTAAAAAATGTAACTCTAACGTTTTATCCATCATCATCTCACCACCGAAATTGTAAAATTCCATTATGCAAATAGGTATGTCAATATTTTGTAATAGAATTTTAAGTTGAGTCACCGAAAAATTTATGCACATTCCTAAATATTTGAGACAAGGTGGGAATGAACTAGCAAGATTTTTAAGAGATTTTGTTTCCCATGAATGTCTAGTAATACCACAACTATTTGACGTCATCCACGAACGTTGTCGTGAAGAACTACTACAAGTCTGAACTATGATTAAATGTTCAATACTCGGTAAATATCGAAGTGTAGTGCAAAGAGAAGAGAGGTCGACAGTATTAATGAGTGTTGATAAATGAGTTAGATTTCGACAATATTCAACAAGTACTTTGCAAAGTTTTGGTGTTATACATTCTTGTAATGAAAATACTTTTAAATTACGATTTGCTGATCGAAGTAGTAATCCTACAAAGTTATCCAAGGTTTTTCGATCTGGTCCAATTTCATAAATTAATAATTTTTTAATGAAAATTGGAGGTAAAGTGTCTGCGTTAATCTTTGAGAAATCATCATTAACTTGTGGTTTCCATAACACCAAAGTTTCAAGATAAGTTAATGTATTGAGAATAGGAAGAAGTTCTGTAATCGTGGATAGATTATTGATTCTTAAATATTTTAGGTGACTATGAACTGATAAACACAAAGTATTTGAAATGCTGGAATCCCACCGGCCATCAAATTCCAATTCTTCAAGGTTATGTTGTCTGTTGATTAATTTACACAATAATGGAACTATCGGTTGAGTTTCAAGCAAACACGGTATATTAATCGCAATTTGTTTAATAACCGTTGAAGATTCTATAACTTTGTTAAGTAGACCTATAATTTTTTCTTCGGTAACATTGTTGCTCGCAATTTCAATCCAATAAGTTAATTCAAATTTTCGAAGATTATATAATACTTGATTAGCTCTTACATAAGAAGCAAAATCAGGGAAGCTACAGATAAGATTTCCTTCTTCGTCAAAATAATTATTGTACTCTTGTTCTAATTTCAATAATCCTAAGCCGTAAGTATGACTTAACAACACATTGCTAAATAATTCAATACCATCTATAACTCTTTTAAGACTTTGAACATTATCAAAAGGAACAGCCCACCATTTCTGAACTGTTTGTCTAAAATTTCTTGAATCGAAAGCACGAAGATATTTAGGATAATCGAATAATGGAGTAGGAAAAGGAGGAAACCAGTGTTTCAATTTTTTAGATAACATTTGTCTTTCATCAAGTGTTAAACAGGATAGATATGAGTGGATTATGCTTGTCGCAGCTTTCTTTCCGGAAATTATATGCTCGAATGGTCGACTCCATAATAGTGGAACCACAAGTCGACAAAATAGTCGATTGGTGAGAAGACAAGAATATAGAGTTGTGCGATCATTTTTTAGTTGGTATAGAATGTCGGCAATACAATCAGATGTTAACATTGGTAGAGGATTACGAAGATTTTTAACAGACATTATGATTAAAAAAAAAAAAAAAACAAGAATAAGTACGAAAACAATATAAAACAATATCTAATTATTTAGGTATTTTTTGTCATTATATAAATTGACAATAGTGATAATGCAGTAACCTGCCGAATCTGCATATTACTATTACAAAAGGAAACATTTCGTCACGATTAACGTCTTTCACGTGATAATACACGGAATGTCTGTGCAATTATCTAACCTTCCACACATCATTGATGCCTATCAAAAGCGGATAACACGCATATATGCTTATCTAATCTCATCATATTGATGAAATGCCCAGGCTCAACAAGAACTTGGCTTCATAAACCACAATTATACAATTACAGCTTATAATTAAGATTATTTAAAAATAGTTACAAAAAGCTTAATTTTATTATTTATATTCGATTTAAAAAAATATTTAAGAATAAACAATTTAATATATAAAACGATCTTCAAAGAATACAAAAAGCAACAAAATCAATCTAAATTGTAGAGAACCAATTTCTTTGAATAAAAATTTCTCAGAATTAACTCGAAAATTAATTTTTTTCATCACTATCAAATTCTAACAAGTTTTTTTCTGGAATTAATAAAGATTCAATTTTAAATAAACATTGATCGTTTATTTATGAATTTTCAAATTTTAACTAAAATTTAATATTTACCCGCATAAAGTTTATTCTTTCCGCCATCTTGATGATAAGTTTTCTTATATTCGTCTTTAACATTTGTTTGCCTTTGGCCAGATGAAATATACCATTCAATCGGATTTTCATTTTTCGAATGATTACTTTTAAATTCAAGAAAAAAAAAAATCGATAGAGGAAAATGTTAACCAATAAATATATAGAAGTAATTTTTTTTTTTTTTTTTTTTTTTTTACCTAGGACCAGCATCAGAATCTCCGTACGAATAAATTTTGTTTGCAGATCTTGAAAAAGGTTCAGAGTTCGAAGTTCTAGAAGATTCGTCGTTCACTGAATACTTTTCGATTAATTCTTTTTTAAGGTTTAAAACTTTTCTTAACTCATTATAACTATTAGCCAATTTCTCTCGGCGATTAATTGCTTCTTGTTCCATGGAATCAAGTTGTTGTTTGTACATATTTATCTTTTGAATATAGGATACGCAGGAATCGCATGTAACGGATTGTGGCTTATGGTCTTCACGTATTTTATGCGTTTTATCACTTGAGAGTTGGCAAGAATCTAAAGTGAAATTTTGAAACGACCCATCTGTGAGATCTTCATAATTCAAAAGATTATTTATTGAAGTAGGTTGTAAAATTGGAGAAGGATTTTCTAAATCAATTTCTATAATTATGTTTCTTGAGTTTTCGTTGTTTTCATCCATATTCAGGTTAACATAGAGATAACAATTATCGATTTATATTTCCGTATTTTAATAATTACATGATGACGTCATTGTAACAGTCTATCGATAACAGGCTTCTACCGTATAAGTGCACACCCTCTATAAATGTATAAGCCTGCTTATAATATTGCTTTCGTTAATCTCTAAAAGCGTCCTTTTTAAATGCGAGGGGTGCACTTAGGGGGTCTGACTGTATTAACATGCATGAATTAAATAAAACTTTGTCTTGATATATCTACGCGTACAATAAATCAAATTTTTGAATGAAGTAAATTAATGTGTCTAAAACCAGAATGATACTTCATAATTACGTGAAGTAGAGTTGATTCTATGGAAATCTTTAAATATATTTCATAAACTCTATAGAGAAACGGAAATAAGATCCAAATATACTACACATTACTCTGAACATAACGATATCATAACGGCATCTAAGTAAAATCTTTCTATATCGACATATTTTTTTTCAAAACTCTAAAATATCGGATAGTCACTGTAACGATATTAAATTTTTTATTAATTTCTCATACAGTGTTGTCATAAGTAGAGTTATGTATAAAACTCGGCAGTAGTTCCAGTTGAAATTATACGCGCGGGCATTTGGAAGGTCAGAGATAGATACCTTTTCACGTCATATGAAATTCAGGTAGTGACGTCTATAAGTCATTGTCTTCAGCCTTAGTAGGAGTTATTGAAGCAAACAATTGAATTGCATGAATATTTTTACATTTCCTCCAAACAATATTTTAAGCGTACGGTGCTAAAAAAAAAAAAATTTATCCCTGATTGTAGGTATTCAGTAAAATAGTACTGTACGGTAATACATATTCGGACGAACATGTTAACCTTTTGATGGTACATACACCTATAAAATTCAATTTCGTAAGTATCCCCTTTCAATGGTTAGGGAAAATATTTTTTTCGTGTTAAAGTTAGATGAGGTTCCAGGAAAAATAGCTCTGTTTTGAAAGAATTTTTTCTTTTACAAACCGTACGTACTATCATGATTTCCACATGTCCGCCCTAATTTGCATTTCTGTACTGTACTACTTTACTATATACCCCTGATTGATTGTTCACCTTGTGCGGTAATTATACTATCGCCACCATAATCTTTTCAATAAAATGGATAGTTACGCACAAATTTGCTTTCATCTCCTTGTTTCATTTAGCTCATCGATTGACAGAACAATGAGATATGTGCAAGTATAATGTTATTTAATGTTTTATTAGAGTTTTGATTTGTGTATGTTTTTTTTTTTTTAACGACTTATTATAGATTGAATGTAAAAAAAAGTAATAAAACGAACCAACCAGTCGGCAGAATTCGAAAAAAAAATTTATCGATAGGTTTTAACAATTAACTTTAGCCAATTTTTTAATTATCAATCAGGATCACTAGACTTGACAGCTTTGTTCCATGTTTTTTGTAGAGGCGGTATAATGCCAGCCTGAATAAATGATTAAATGAGTTAGTTAATAAGAATAATTAATTTTAAAGTTTTAAAGTAATCAATTCAAAATTAATTTAATATGTTTCACCCTGGATAAAAGTTTTGCCACAGTATCACTAGGTTGAGCTCCACAAGATATCCAATATTTAATTCTATCAACATTCCATTCAATATTCTTAACACCATCAGGTCCAGGAATTGGATCATAAGCACCAACTTTTTCAATATGTTTACCATCTCTAGGAGATTTTGAATTTGCTACAACTATGTGATAAAATGGTCGATTTCTTATACCGCGACATGCCAAACGAATTCTAACAACCATCGCTCGATGCTTTTGTGTTTTCTGTCTGTAATTTAAAATAATTAAAAAATGCTATTCATAAATTTTTAAATTTTAATATTATAACAGTTACTTATTAATATTATATCAACGTAGCTTAAGTTATCTAAGATCTTAAAACGAGTTATCATGGTTAGTTATCTGTTATGTAATCAATCCGTAGATCATGACTAAATTGATTTTATTGGCTACCGTATATAATGATAAATTTTTGGGGAATTTACAAATAAGGTCCCAAAAAATTAAAATAATTACAGATCAGGACCCGAATTAAAAATAATTATGCATCGGGACCCAAATTTTAAAAATTATTACAAATCAGGTCCCCGAAAATTTGCGTGCATGAAAAATGAATCATTAAACGTAATTTAATGATTTTGTATAAATATAAATTTTGTTTAATCGATTAAACTTTTTTTTATCTTTTAACCTAATTAAAGTCATCTTTCGCTTTTATTTTTACAACAATTTATTATCGCTATGTTAAGTACAATACTGCAAGTTGGAAAGACATTTACTAATATGGAAAGTGTCCGATCTGCTCTGGATAGATACTCTGTTGAAACTTCTTCGCCCTATAAGTTCAAAACTAATAGACCAAAAAAGCTCCTTGTTGTTTGTCCTATGGTCAATACTAGTACATGCCCATTTACCATTTCTGCTAACGAACGTAAAGATGGTTACATTTATATTGTGAAGTTAGTTCAACATGATGAAAATTGTCCAACACTTACACAGATATTTAAAGCACGTGGATCATACCTTACAAAGTTTTCTGCGCCATTAATTGAAGATATTGCTGCGCTTAGATCTTGTGATATAGTGAACCATGTTCGTTCAGAAGCAGGAGTTGAAACGTCATATATGGCAGCATGGAGAAGTCTAACTGCT